GTGGCTCTTGCAGGGATGCAGACGGGTACAGTGAGTGCATCACCTGTCCTGGCAACGCTCACGCAGAGGCTGTGCTCACTGAGACCGCATGCTCTCACTGCAAGAGCATGAGTCTTGCCCTTCACCACTCGCGGATCGCCTCTTTTTATGAAATCGTCTTTCTTTAAGAAAAAACAGCGGAGCAGTGGGGTTTTAACACTGGGCTCAAGTGAACTCAAGCCAGCGCCCCTTGTCGGCTGCAAGCCTTCGGCACATCTGAGGAGGAAACCACCGGAAGAGCCCGCCCACGGCCTCCTTGACGAGTGGTACCTAAAGGGATGCAGTCAACATTCCTCTGGTCAACGGCCTGCTCTGTTCTTGCCGGCAGTTCACGAGGAACTCATCAGGACGTGGCACTCCCCCTACTCGGCTCGTGTTAATCCCTCTACTTCCACCACTCACCACTGTTGACAGTAGGGGTGGAACGGTTCGTGGGAAAAAATCGAACTGTACGGTTCTCCACACATGGTTTGGCACGCTCTAGGACCGCGGTTCAACTTAAATCTGACAACGCATCTTTAATATGGTTTGCTATAAATAACACGTAAAACAAACAGGGTTCAGCTAATATATGTTTATGTTGATGGAAGCGCATTCTGGCTTACCAATACATTACAACAACTGCGATAAAAAAAAGCGCGCAAACCCACGCAGAACGCGTACAGATATTAAGCGCTCTCTGAAGTATTGTGTTTAAATTGACAAATTCACACAAAAATTATGTCAAAATGCCTGTCTTGGTAAGTATCTCAACCGTTCCACCCCTAGTTGACTGCACTGAAGAAAGACGTTATTGCAAGCTCCCTCCTCTGGAAGAGGTGGTCGCTGCGCATCTGTGCCCCCAATTGGCCATGGGGTTGAAAGCCCATGCAACGCCTCCATCTAAGCCCTGCAGGACTACCTCAGCCCTAGCAAACAGGGCTTATTCAGTGGCTGGCAAGGTTGGCTCAGCGCTTCACACGATGGCAGTGCTTCAAGTTTTCCAGGCCAAACTTCTCCGCACCATGGACGAGTCCAGCCAGAGTTCTAATGCATTTAGAGAGCTGCGCACAGCGACTGACCTGGTTCTGTGCGCTACTAAGCCCACTGCGCAGGCAATTGTCAAGGTGGTGCTGTAGCGCCACCTTTGGCTGAATTTGACTTGAACATTCGAGGGAGCGGCCTATCAGTACACAGTCCTGCCATTCGGACTGTCCCTGGTCCCGTGTCCTTTTATGAAGTGCATAGACGCAGCTATTTCCCCTCTGAGACAGACGGAAATTAGCATTTTGAACTCAGCCTCCTGGAGCGCCTTGGGTTGAGAATCAATTTAGCCAAGAGCGCTTTGTCTCCCAGCCAGCGAGTGGTCTTTCTGGGGACAGTTATCGATTCTGCCCCGAATGCGTGCATGGATTACTCCGGAACGCTCCCTGACTATTCAGCGACTAGTGGCGTCATTCAAATTAGGGACTTCACATTCCCTCAGGGCTTTCCAGAGGATGCTCATGTCAGCCACTTCCTCTGTGATTCCTCTGGGCCTGCTCAACATGCGGCCCCTTCAGTACTGGCCAAAGCCCATGTTCCATCCTACGCTTGGCACCTGGGACGTTTTCATCTCAGGGTAACCCACTGCTGCATCAGAGCCATGGCCCCTTGGAAAACCTCTCGCCTCTCACATCAACTGCCTCGAGATGATGGCAGTTTTTCTGGCCATAAAAACCTTCCTGCCAGCCTTAAAGGGGCACCATGTCCTGGTCCATTCGGACAACATGACGGTGGCAGCCTTTATCAATCACCAAGGCGGTCTGCAGGTCACGTTCCCTTCACAGGTTGGTTGGGCAGACTGAACCAGGGGGCAGACATACTGTCCAGGGACAAGGTAGCTCCAGGAGAATGGAGACTACATCCCCAAATGGTTCAAATTATTTGGTCTGTCTTCGGGAGGGCAGGGGTGGATTGGGCAACTTTCTCTGCCCAATCTACTTTTCGAGACAGCGAGATGTACATCTTCCCCCCCTTAGGTCATCAGATGGGTCAGGGAAGTCAGATGCTCAGTCCTCCTGGTGGCCCCACTCTGGAGGAATTAGATGTGGTTCCCCGAGTTGATTCAGCTGCTATCATCAGACCTTTGGCCAATACCACTGAGGTATTGGCGACCTTCTCTCGCAAGCAAAGAGCATGATTTGGCATCGCCGACCAGAGCTGTGGATCCTTCATGATTGGCCCCTCGACGGGAGTTTTTGCAGCTCCCCATGAATGTAACTAATACCATTTTGGAGGCTAGAGCTCCATCCACAAGGCATCTTGATGCCCTTAAATGGTCAGTCTTCCCTGACTGGTGTGCAGCACGGAACGAGGACCTGTCCTTTTGTGATGTGTCCCACGTGCTAACCTTTCTACAAGAGCTCCTGGAAAAGGGGCACACACCTTCCACGCTCAAAGTGTATGCAGTGGTGTATAAAGTACCTGAAAGCCATAC